TTATTTTAACTTTTTTTATTATCTCTTAATTTTAATCACTCATTTTATCATAACAAATTTATTTTTTTATTTTTAAGATAAAATAAATAAAAAATTATCTCAAAATCTTTAATTCTAAAAAAAAATATTTATTTTTTTTTTTTAACAGGGTTACAAATTTGGGGGAGGGGGAATCGAACCCCAACTCTCGGACTGAGGGATGCACCTTACAAGCCGGCCTACGGTCGTTGGGCCGAGAGGCCCAAGTGCAAAAAAATATTTATTATTTTAAGATAATTGAAATAATTTTTATTTATAATTTTTTCATACAACCTAACTTATCATTCAATGTTTGAATCTTTTCTCTTTTGTTGAAATTTAGTGTATCTGGATCGTTACCCTAATTAACATTTTAGTAAAAATTTAACTTCTAAATTAGCTGTTTTATTAATGTAGGTATTAAGTCAAACAACAAGAAATAAACAACAATACCAATAACATACCTGTTAAGTAGAAGAAGTTTAATTTTAAATTCAAATATTGTGAATAAAACGATATATACTGAAAGAATTTCTTTCTTATGACATTTAACGTATCTATAATTTAAATTAGTTAAAATCCAATATAATTTCTGAATACAAAAATATTAGCACCAAAAAATTAAGAAATAGATAGCAGTAACTTGAGAAATTAAAAAAAGTTTTTATTGTGCTAACTCAATAATAATTTTCTTACAGTGGAACTACAAAGTAGATCCCTAAAATCATATGTGAGAGATGATTACATATCTGATCGATTCTCTTCTAGTGCTAGCCCGATAGTGGATTTTAATCTGGCGTGATGTCTTCGATACCTGTTAATTTTCATCAGGATCCAAAGAATTAGTAAAAGGGTTCAACTTCATTGTTGATGGCCGGATCTTGATCTTATTGATATGTTCTTTAAAGTTCGTTTCTTTCTTTCATATGTAACCTTAAATCTCAATTAACATTTTACACTCCTAGGAGTACAGGGATTGGAAAACTTTGTGTAAAGTAGTATTTTAACAGTTGAGTATGTGTGGCAAATGTTTTTATTAATAATAACAACCAGCTTTGTAGATAATGTACTTCTGCAGATGTGGCATCAACTGGTGAGACATGTTGAAACAACTAACAAGATGAGATAATTATTATTTTTATAAATGAAAGGAGTTTAGTTTTTTCTAATTAAAGTTTTGAGTTCGTCTTTTGTAAATAGAATAACAGCTGTTAGGAGAGTTTTTTTTCTATGAAGTCTAATACAGCTCAATTATGATTTAATTATATTTTAATATGATTTTTGGTTACCAAAGTTAAGTTGAAAAAAAAAAAAAAAAACCAATGTCACAACATCTAGCATTCATTTATTGGATAAATGATGTTAGGAACAAGGTTTTAGGCTTTGTAAAACCAAGGTCTTCTTCATTAATTGTCCACATCTGTAGCAGTACGATGGGGATTAGAAGAAACTTTACGAGTGCAAGTTTAGTTCTAGTTGTTAGGAATTTTCTTTTGTAACTGATTGTAGCAGCTGTTGTTGCTTGAGTGTATAGATAAGTTTATTAGATAAATAAAATTTTTACATTTTATCCAAAAAAAAAAAAAAAAAAGAAGAAGATTATCTAGCATTCATTTCTTGGTCTGTTCCTGCTTTTGCAGTCAACCTACCTTGCCTATGACAAATGCAGTCAACATCTAATGGGTAATATGCTCTCCATATACAAGAGAATCAGAAGAGAATCAATCAAGACTGGTAATGTAAGTATATGCATACACCATCTTTCCCCCCTCAAGCTAACTTGAAGATACCTATTGTCTACCATGAATTGGGTAATGTAAACTCAATGTACAAAAAAACAATCAATCAGAATCAAGTGGTAATGTAGGTACATGCTTCCACCATTCTTTCCCTCTACAATATGTAACAGTTTAATCTCACTAGAAAAGACGTATAGTATATGCGTGCTAGCTATTATCCTTGTGAAAGGGTGTGTTTAACTACTGAAACTGCCTGTACTCCAAATTATTCTATTTGCATTGCAGTAAAGAGACGAACCCTACCTTGATAGCCCGAGAGTGTTACGCGATATCCTATATGAACAATTGTGATCCAAATTAGATGACCTTCAATAGAAACTTCAAGAGCCATCCTCACCATCTGATATAGTGGGTAAAACCTAAAGTTCTGTGTCCATTGAGTATGAGGAGCAGATATCTGGAAGGTTGGGACCTCAAGAGTACCCTTAGATCAATGCAATTTCATTAGTAACATCTTTAAATATTGTGTTTAATAAAACTAAAATTTAGAAATTAGTCTAACTTGTCCTGTGTGTAGTGGAAACGACATATCTCCGAGTCGGAACAGAATGAGATTGTGACTGGCTAAAAGCAGTATCTCCACCTCCCTCCCTGTGTCTGGAATCATTGTAAATAATTAGTGTAAGAATAATCTAGTATGTATGATCATTTGTTGAATAGAAGAGGATGCACAAGTGGGTATAACTATTTCCTGAATGAAAGAAGATAGACAACTAGGATTCTTAGAACCCATATCTGACTCACCTGTGGATCTCTCTTCATTCTTAGAACCCATATCTGACTCACCTGTGGATCTCTCTTCTATGTTACTGATCCTATGAAGAACGTACAAGAGTCTCTGTGGTAGTATACCAAAGCGAGGGTCTATTCCGAGGCCTTCATCGAACGCTACAACAAGGTCGTCCACGGGAAAGGTATCAGTTTGGAGGCGTAGTCTGGATTGCCCGGTAGTTGGTGGGATGATAATCATCTCTAGAACATTAAAGAAAAATGGTGAACTTACAAAACCCAAGATTCAAGTACGTACTCGCACTCGGAACAACTAAAGAAACTAATTAACAATCAAAAAATAATCAAACAAAACTCAAGATTCAGCTTTAATTTACCGTCAGCATTGGGGTTGAACTCTATTATGATGCTCATCAGTCCCCAGCCTAATTCTATAGCCGTTTGAATCCAGCTTAAAAACGCTTGAACACTGAAAAGTTGTGTTGATCCAACTGGAAGATCTTCATCTAACGTATATCCAGCAATGTCAACATCTACTGGAGTACCGTTTGGGAAAAACAACTGACATCTCATACGATGCTGATCAAGAAAAAGGATTCTCATATGTCTATCGACCTCCGCCATGTCTCGGAGGCCGCATAACAACCGAAACATAATCAAAACGTTAGCCACCCGAAAGCTTGTCATTGGATGGGAATCCTATAAAATAAAAATAAAAATGAAATTAATTAGTAGACTTAAGGCCCAAGATTAATATCAAGAAAAAGTGATGGCCCAAAATATTGACTTGGACTAGTATGAGCAACCCAATCTCATGAATTGATTCCGCATCTCTGGTTAATAGTATAATAATATACTTGTTGAATTAAAAACAACGAAAATCATTTTCAGTTTATTTAGTCTAATTTATTGAATTAATTTATTAACATATACTTGTTGAATTAAAAATAATGAAAATCATTTATTTAATCTCTTTTTTTTAACATGATTGTGATTTTGAGTTTTTTATTTTGATTTTTATAAATTTTATAACTCAAAATAAAAAATTTATTTACTTTCATGTATTTTTGTAACATATTATTATAATTATTAAAATATAAAAACAAATATAATTTTATTACTATTAAATTAAATAAATATATATTTTTAACTATTAATATTAAAAAATATTTTAAACGAATTTTTAACTTTTTAATTTTCAATTTTGATTTTCATTAGTTGTAAAATTATAAAAGTCAAAATAAAAAACTTCAAATAACGAGTATACTAAATGAAGCCTTAATAAATTAATAAACTCATTATATTTTGTATAAAGCCAGCCTTATTAATTACAAAACAGAGCATTCTAGTTTTGAAAAAAAACTGAGCATTTGATTAATAATCGAAATGATGTGTTAATGCTCATCAGTAGTTAACAAAATAATACTACTATTTTTCTGTAATTTAATTGTAATTAAATAATAAAGAACGAGAAAACTCAACAGCGAACGGAATTAAGAACGGTAAATAACTCGTTCTGCTCAGGAAGTTTAAAATGCTAGTCATTTCAATCTTTTCTTGGAAGAAATACAAGCGCAGATCTTAAAAATTGAAAGTATGAAAATCAAGAGGAGCTTACCGGAGAAGACAGAGCAATAAGGAGGATATGATTGACGAGACTCCAGTGCCGTAGTGAGTCGGAGGAGATAATTGGGGAGATTCCTGCGCGGAGAAGAGAGATCGGAGGAGAGTGAAATTGGCCGATTTAGAGCTATTTTTCAAGTTGAAAAATGAAAATTCAATCCGTTCCTGTATAAAATAGAAGCAAAGATCACAAAAACGGAGAACAAATGAAAATCGCGAGGAGCTTACCGGTAAAAGAGAGCGCGTGACGGATATATGATCGGAGAAATTCAGGCGCGGCAGCAAGACTGAGGAGATGATCGGAGAGATTCCGGCGTAGCAGCAAGATGAAGGAGATGGTCTGAGACTGAGAGATCCCGTCGTGAAGGAAGAGCGAAAGGGACCAAGTGTGAATTTTGAAAAATACGAAAAATACGAAGGTGCACACGTTTTTTAGCTGGGTAAGATTGCCGCCGAGAGAGCCCGTTTCCATGCCCAAAAAAACACGGCTAACGGCATCGTTTCGATTAACTTATAATGAAAGGTCCAATTCATGAAGCCCAATATCAGAAATATATTTATGATTTGAAAGTCCAAGTCATGGGCCTCTCATCTTTTCATCTCCTCCAAAAAAAGGCTCAACCGCTCAAGTACGCTCGAAATGTTTCATTTATTTCCATATAAAATAAAAACCCAAAAGGCTTCTTTTTCAAAAGCCCTGATGGCCTGGCCCTTAACCAAAGTAATATTTATAGACACATGTAATTGTATAAAAAAAGGCTACCAAAAAATTTTTTTAATGAAGAACATTATAAAGGAAAAAAGTGTAATGCTAAACTATAAATTAAACAAGGAGATTCTTATTTAAACACTTATAAATAACCTCACTCTTAAGTAAGCTAATTTCATAAATTTAATTCATAAAACACATGATTCCTTTTTAATCTCCATACTTAAAGACGATTAAATTAAAAATAAAAATCAATGTGTTTCTTGATGGGTTTTGAAATTTGATTTTTTTGTTTTGGTCATCATTATATCTCCACTTCTGAGGCCTCGTCGTGACTTGGTTTGTGGCCTCGATTTGTACCAATACCAAAGGTGTCTGGATTTCTTTGCACAACCGATAATCCATCCAAAAGATCAATAACTCGGTCGATGGAAGGACGCTCAGATGGATCATCAATTAAACAATCCATTACCACATTTGTGATTTTAGGTCCATCAGCCAATTCAAAATCCTGATCATGCTCAAAGCTTGGATGCACCAAGGACACATTTCCTTTTCCACATTCTGCCACACGTTTCCCATACTCTTCTGCTGCCCATTCATCAAGAGACCTCACACCATCAAGCCGCGCATCAGCATATTCATATACCCCGTTTTTATCAATGAGATCTCCTGCTATAAATACTTCCCTAATAATTAAACTTAGAAGTATCATACCAAACGCAAAAACATCACTCTCTCTATAAAACACACCTGTCAATAAATTTTCAAAAATTATTTTTTACACAATAAACAATAAATAGAAAGGAATTAACTAAAAGGAGGTAGAAAATCAATATGTTCTAATTTTAAAAATAATAAGATATCTAATCAAAATCATATTACTAGTAAAATATATTATAAGTTTCACTTAAATCATGGTTAAGATTAAATATACCTAATTTTTACTTTTCTAACTAACTAATGCAAAGCAAGAAATATTATTAGTTTTTAAAATGATATTAAAAGAAATTAACCCAACCCTTAACCTTTTTACATACAAAAAAGTTGTTTTACATCCATAATCGTAATATATTGACCCTTAGATAAAAGATGGATTCTTTGATATTAAGGACACCTCTCCATCTAAAAATTTTTATTTTATAGTCTAAACTATAAATAACAAACCCTTTTACATATATTACTTACTGTTTCTCCTAATCGTGGAAAGAAGATATTGATGATAGGTTAATGGTTAACAACTTTGAGAAGGAACATTATGGATCAATACATACCTACCCATGAAAAAGGTGGATCAGTATAACCAGAATACCCAGGTGTAGTAAGATGTCCAAGGTGGTTTCTATCTGGCTGGATGCCACCAGAAAACATACTGAATTCATACAATATAGGGCTGTAATCCTAAAAATGAATAGATTCCTTTAAACTCCAAACAGAGTAAGATAACATGTAGAGAATAGAAAAGCAGTCAAATTAACCTGTCCAATCATAATGTGAGCTGGATTCAAATTGCGAACCATATATGGACGCTTTCCCTCAGCCAGGGGTGCCGTATGCAAAAATTTAAGGAGATCCGCAAGCTGATAAGCAATTTTTACTCTTTGTAACCAAGTCAAATTATCTAAAAAAAGACACTACACTTGTCATCAGAACTACAAAATTTTATATTGTTAACACTAAAAAATCAAAGGTACAAAAAAAAAAAAAAAAAACTTTGCAGTAGAAGAGAAAGAAAAGATTTACCTTCATGAATTAAGTTCTGCAATATATCAAGTGGGTTAAGATTATAGACAACAGCAAGCCGATTCTCATCCTCATCATCACAGTATTCGATCATCTTTGCTACACGACAGTGCGACGTTACTCCTCCAAGAGTTTGTAATATGAGTTCGTCCTACAACACATAGAGAGAACGTGAAAGGAAATCATAAACTTAATTCTGTGGAAAATGGCGGTGAACATTCAATTGAACAACATACGTTAAATCTTGTCGCATTGTCTCTTATAAAGCTAATATAGCGGGAACGATTATTTCTCCATATCTTCACGGTCACCTCTTTTTCTCCCATCTTCCCACGATATACCTCACCAAATTGAAAATTTCCAATCTTGTTGTCAGCACTACAATTGCCCGTGTATGACAAGATGTCATCATAGGAGATATGCTTTATTTCCTCGTTATAATCTGATCCCATTTTTGTTGCTGCTTCTACAGAATTCGGAAAACAAAAAGAAAATATCAAAAGATTTGAATACAAAATTTACCAAAATTGAAAAAAGAATCTAACTTTTATGATCATACAATTCACTTTGAAGTAGAAAAAAATTTACTAATATTTAAATATGAAACATTAAACCATTAGTAAATATATAGTAATTCGTGATTAACTTGTAAATTACTTAAGTTTAACTTGATCTTTGTAGGAATATTTGTCAACTACTTGCAAAGATTCAATATATAATTAAAAATTATATTATATTTTAGATTAAAATATATAATAATTTATAAATAAGTTCAAAAACTAACTTAAATAAGTTATATATTTATAATTGTTTTTTAATTGTTGGACTTCATTTAATTCTCTTGTTTAAGCTTTGGTACTCTAATATTTTTAAAAAAATAAAAAAAAATTATATTTAAATGATTGATTATTAAAACAATTTGAAATAATAAGAAAAAAAAAGCTCAAATTCAAAGTAAGGTACTCATTCGTTCCAATATCGCAACTAGAGCATTGGGTGCATAGATAATTGACTCATTAACAGCCCTAATAAACAATAAATCAAAAATTCACAATATTATCATAAAACTAAAAATAAAACAAACAAATAAATAAATAATGAAAGGACTAAGGAGTATATCTTTTGAATGGTAACCAATCCATGTGATTAATCAAACCATAACTAGCTGTACCAAAAAATAAAAATAAAAGTAAAACCAGAACTAGGAGTTAACAGAAGAAATTCTTTAATTGAAAAAGAGGTTCGTTTCTTACGGCAAGAGGCTTGGCCGGACTGCGTCTTAGGGTTTGGAGCAATCGACGGTGAAAGGAAACGGAAGGAGAAGGGGGGGCTAGGACTACGGTACTCCGTTTAGCAAAAGAAAAGACTAGGGTATTTCGTATTCGAGCTTTCCTTATATACTGCATGCTTTTCTGAGGGTTTTCACGCCAAAGAAAAAAAAAATCTCTTGGTTTTTATAATATCAAGTTAATTAATTATAGTTATTAAATAAAGATTAGTATGTATCAATTTTAATTTTAAAAAAATTATAATCTTAAACTACATTTGAAAATTAAAATCTCAATTTAAAATTTAAAAAATCATCGTATTAAATATTGATACTTAAATTTAGAAACTAATTAAATTTTATTTAATAAATCATCTATTAACTATCACATTTTTATCATTTTAATCTAAATACATTATTTTCTTTCAAACTCGTCTATTAACTTTCAAAATTATTTCATTTTCATCTACCCCACGCAATACCATTAACCATATTGACGGAAGTTTTAATTTTTAATCATGTGGCACCATGTAAGTTGCCGTGTCATGTCACATAGGCAAATTGTTGGCCTAAAAGAAGGGAGGAAAAATTCCACAGCATTGTTTCTTTTTAA